AAATTCTCTTCTCACCCTCTCAAAGTTTATAATTCTTTGCTCTCCCTATACACTTGAGTTAATAAAATATCCGACGATCTTTGTCATTTAAAGTGAACGTAGACCATGTTAACCGAACCACTAAAAACTTTGTCATCTCTCTCCCTCTACTTATTTACTGCATTTTATACTACCTACTTGACAGGTGGTGTGCAAACCAATTTGTACATCATCAGTTGCCATTAAAAACTAAAGAAAGTTTAAAACGATGAAAATTCGGGTGCAGGTAGCCTCACCTACCACATGTTTTTGGTTCGTGGTTGTTCGTGATCATCAAGGGATGGGATATTGGAGCACGTGAAGCACTCATGCAAAGATCTTAAAATTTGCAATCGAATAAAACATCAGTGAAAGTAAGTCCCAAATTTGAAATCGCTTCCGCATACGATGTTATAAATATCCTCCATAAACTTTCATGGTCATATTTTTTGAGTTTGAAGTGTTAGAAAGAATCATCATGGTTATTGTCAATGAAGTTGCTTGCATTATAAGTATGACATGGAGAAGATTTATTTGCACCTAATATTCTATTTAACACTAGTTTAGTTATTATTTTTTGAAAATTATCTTATAAGTGATTGTGGTTTGATTAACAAATAATGTTTACTAAAGATGTGAATTTCGAGAAAAGTGACCCATCATTAATATATAATATTTAATACTCAAAATGATTCTCGTAAAATGCAGAAGTGTACCAACTAGTATATATCTATACATAATGTATAGCAATGTAATTGACTTGAATGAGCTCCAAAACTTCATTCCAATTTTTTCAAATTTTTTATTTTTTAAATTTTCAAATTTGAGTTGATTTTATATCGTTGGCCTTTTTTACATAATTTAATTCCTAATTAATAGGATAATTCCTAAAATTTCTCAACTATCCCAAGTTTCTCTTCCTTTCTTGCCTCTAAATCTATATTTACTACATACTATAACAATCACTTTAGGAGAGAGGGTGATTATTAGACTTTTCCTCATCAAGTACTAATTTTTTTGATTTTAAATTATTGAATAACAATGCATTGATCTCATCAAATTAAATCATTCTATATGACTTATTTAAATACTCCCAAAAACTGATTTATTTCATCCTCATTAAATTCAACATAATAATGGATAATGTCACAAACAATAGGACTAAAATCATAGACGAAAGCATGTGACATTACCATAATAGGATGAATTTAAATTTCAAATAAAAATGAAACCGACAACACCATTATGATAATATTGAAACCAACAACACCATTATGATAATGTCACGTTATTTAGTCCTGTTTATTTTATCAATCTTGCAAATCTCTTTTCATTTTATTATTGTAACTTACTGGTGTGACTTTCATTCCTCACTATTGGAGTCATATTATGGCCTTGCATTTCAAGTCATCACTGCAGTCCCACTACCATCACCATCACCATCACCATCACCATCACCTCTGAGTTATGGGTTTAACTGATCTCTATAGATATGTGTCCAGTGCATTTCCTCTTGAAGCTGTCTCATTCCCAGTGAGATATGCCTGTGAATTCCAGCATATACTTCAGTTCACCATCCATCATATAGATAGAGGATTTGGATCATTTGACTCATTGCTCCTNATATTATGGCCTTGCATTTCAAGTCATCACTGCAGTCCCACTACAATCACCATCACTATCACCATCACCATCACCATCACCTCTGAGTTATGGGTTTAACTGATCTCTATAGATATGTGTCCAGTGCATTTCCTCTTGAAGCTGTCTCATTCCCAGTGAGATATGCCTGTGAATTCCAGCATATACTTCAGTTCACCATCCATCATATAGATAGAGGATTTGGATCATTTGACTCATTGCTCCTGTAAATTTGGTCAGTTGCCCAAAAAAACCCTTTTTTTTTTTTGGAAAAATTTCAATCACACCCCTTCTAATTTACTACATCTTCAAGGACACCTCCTCTATTTTCTGAATCTCCAGTGACACCCCTGTCAGATTTAAAATATTAACTAAAATACAATTTTACTAAATTATCCATAATATATTTGAGGGCAAATTTCATTCACACCCCTCTAGATAAACATATCTTCAATGAGACCCTTCTAGATAAGTATATTTTTAATGAGACCCCTCTCTTTTCTATTTTTTTTACGTATTAAAATTCGATTCAATCTAATTAAAATTTATTTTTTTATATATTAAATTTTGAGNTATCCATAATATATTTGAGGGCAAATTTCATTCACACCCCCTCTAGATAAACATATCTTCAATGAGACCCTTCTAGATAAGTATATCTTTAATGAGACCCCTCTCTTTTCTATTTTTTTTACGTATTAAAATTCGATTCAATCTAATTAAAATTTATTTTTTTATATATTAAATTTTGAGCCAGTTAAAAATTACATATTTTTACATATTAAAATTTGGGCTAATTAAAATTTTATTTGAGTCAATTAAAAATTATTTTTAATCGACTCAAATCAAATTTTAATTAATTCGCAATAAATTTTAATCAACACAAATTTTAATATATAAAAAAATATAAATTTTAATTGACTCAAATTTTAATAAATCGAATTTTAATTGACACGAATTTTAATAAATAAAAATATATAAATTTTAATCTACTCAGAAGAAAATTTTAATCGACACTAACAACTCGGGTAGAATTCAAATCGACTCAAATTTTAATATATAAAAAATAAAATTTAATAAGCTTGAATTTTTTTTTTTAAATTTACGAATTAGTAAATAACAAATTAGTATTTTCTTACAAATTATTTACTAAAATTGTTATTTACAATTTTTTTTTAAAATTTTAACAACTCGAATTCTAATAAAATTTTATGTAGAAAAATTACTTGAGGTTTATGTAGGGGCATTTTTGGTATTTTAAATAAATTATTTTTTGTTAAAAATGGTAGTTTAATAATAAAGGGTGTTAGTGATATTTAAATTAAACTAGAAAGGGGTGTCAGTGATGTTTTTGATAATAGAAAGGGGTGTTAGTGGTAGTTTAATGGTGAAATTTTCCCTTTTTTTTTTCAAACAACTAATATCGGGAGATCCAACATATGGTCCATTCAGATTTTAGTATTGCATACTTACTAGGAGTGTTGATTGAGTCATCAATTAATCTTTGGGTTGGTGCCATTTCCATGTAAATAGTGAATTAGAAATTACAGTAATCGAATCTTTTTTCTCGCAGCCAAATCCCCAAAATATAAGACCCCATTAATTAAAAACCTATTGGTTCACATTCTTTCAAATCTAAATAAAAAGCCATACAATCTTACAATAATTCATATCATATTAGAGAAGAAATGAAAAAAATGAAATGAATCAAACATTTTCTTCTTACAAATATAAGGTAAGGAAGACAAATTGGTTGAGTCAAAATCGAATTATTTTTGTTTGACAATAACTTGACCAATTTTCATACATCCGACCTCAAATGATTGAGACATAAAATTTAGTTTTATTTGATTTTTTTTGGTTAATAACTTGACCCATTATTATTCACAATAATTAATCGTGTAATTTTTGAGTTCATGTAAGGTTAGCTTGTTGTATAGAAAATTATGACATCATATATTGATGTGATAGAGCTAAATGACTTTTAGATCGTACAAGCTTTAACTTCAGTAGCACAAGCCTAGGTCTTTATATAATTCTTTTGCTCTATCAAACTCCGGACATTACAAAGACTAGTCGTTGCACGTGCTACACCATACCTCAACTTGAGGAGGTGTTCAGATTGAGTTGGAAAAAAAAAATTCTCAATATACGAGAGCTCCCCCGTTACTATAAAATCTGGAAAAGACCATATGTACACAGTTTTAATCCCTATTTATAAAAGATTAGAAGTTGGGAACAAAACCTCAGATCATCTTAGGTATAGAGTTCTTAGAACCACCAAAGCCATACCCAAGCACTTAGAGGCTGTTTAGTATGTGGGTTTGAGGGTGTTTTGGAGCATGAATTGGGGACTAAACCCCCTTAAACCCATGTTTAATCACTATGAATTTAACCCAGGGTTTAAAATCCGGCCCGATCATTGCCCAGTCATAAAACCCATGAGGAGAGGGGTTCATGAAATTCATTGGGAGGGGGTTTCAAATGTGAGTTCGGGAGTTTCACATTCAAATAACATTTATACCCTCCATTTATTCATGTCTATATTTGAATTAAATTAGTTAAGGGGTATAATAGTTATTTAAATATAAATATATTATTATAATAGTCATATATCTCTACGCATACCAAACATGGGTATGAACAACATTGAATATTGAATCCCTTCTTTGAATTTCATCTTTGGTCAAATTCAGGTTTAGACAAGTCAATCTAAACCCCTCTCAAAAAATATACCAAACAGACCCTTAAAGTATCACGGATGAAGGAACACCATGCATGATCCCAACTTTTATGGTTTCCTACCGCTATGCCCTTTCTCAAAAAATGATCCACCTGTCGTAGACACAAGCCAATTTATGCCTTGGGTCAAGAAGGTAGACAGAAAAAATATTCATAGAGCTAGTTAGCTAGCTTACAAAATCTGCTTCTTATATCACTACAAGAATCTCATTATGAACCCCATCATATATAGACATTCACTGCAACAAGACATATTACTTCAACCTGATTGTGAACTGTTAAACTAGCTCAGACATATCAAGAAAAACTCCAAAATAGGCAGAGTATTTTGATGATTTCCTCCAGTCCCATAGCTCCGAGATAATTTGTTCTTCATGAAGTCAAAATCCCTTGTCTGAGCCGGCTAAAAATCAACCGTCACTTTCACCAATACTAGACTTTCCAAAAGCGGCTTGACATGGAAACCCACCTTAAAGGAAGAAAAGATCATTGTTTGTCCCCATTTAAATTTTGTTAAGTAGGTATAGATAAGTTACCTACGAGAGTCAGCAAGTATTTGCAATGATCATAAGCAGAAACAAAATCGACTAGTTATGCACAAGAAATTCCACCGGCAGGCCTTAAATGAAATTACTATGATACAGTTAACATATATTTAATCAAGGAAATTCCGAAATGAGATCCTCTTAAATGTAACTGTAAAGACATATACAAGAATTGGTAATCACAAAGGACTGAAATCAAAGCTCAAGACAAGAATATTTCAACTTCACATCTAAGAGGGCCTTCAATTGGTTGTTTCAGATTTTGCTTTTTCAAGCTCCAACGTAGCATTGAATCCAAATTCATTTCCAGGAATAAATGACAATTTGAGTTCTTCAGTAGTCTGAGATGTGTTAATCTTGTTATCTTTCACACTGAGATTTTCCTGGTAAATGGAGGATCCTAGAAGGTCACTTAAACTGCAAACGAACTCAGTTTGCAATGTAATTAAATAGTTGTAACGATAACTTGCCTTCTTCACATAATCTGCCATGGTTGAGTCAACTATTTCTTGTATAACGAACTTGGTGACACGCTCTTCACCAAGCATTTGTAGTAGGAAGCTCTTCGGGACCTATGGAAGCCTATAAATCAGCCATCTTGCAGATGAAAATAGAACATGTTGTAATAAGAGGCATGCCCCTATAAATAGGTGCTACAGAAAATCAATAAGATTTCCGTACATAAAAAATACTTCTAAACTGATTTTTTTCCTTAAAGTGTAATGCGAAAGAATTGGAGTTGCAGAGTAACTCTTCTCGCCCCAAACCCATTATCTAAACAAATGGCAAGGGATATGATATGACATTATAGAATTATTGGGAAGGAAGTAAGCACTAGATAACTTATTTATGTCAACTTGTGGAAATGGATTCTGTTTAGATATTCAAGCACACGTGGAATCATTTGTAAGGACTGAAATTGGTGTTGAGTTTTATTGTTATACATTGTCATGAAGTAATTTCATAGCGCCTGAGTTGGGTGGTTCCAATATTTCCATCGGCATGAGGGACAAAGAGTTCTTTATGTTTTCAACAAACATTTATTTTAATGTGTATCTTCTGATTTTGATGAATGACATACTTATGCTCACAAGACATATAAAACGGTTGGGAACATGCTGGGCAGAGAAATCTTACATGTAGACAAAAGCCAGAAAGCAAACGGTACGCACTAGACCATTAAACATAGATGAATGCAAAAACTTGACAAGAATGAAGGTTGAGAAAGTTCAAGGATTTTACAAGAAAGACCACACAGAAGAGGACCGGTCAAGAGTAGCTGTAAGCTTGTTTAGGCTTATCCACTGGCTCCTTTTCCAAGTTAGGTATTGGCATTGAGCAATTTGGAGATATGACATAGTTAACCTGGAGGCAGTATCTTACAACAAACCAAATTGTTCACCCTGAAAACTGTTTAAAAATTTGCCAAGGTATTTTATACCAGGCATCTAAATATATATTCTTATGTTTTATACCTTAGTAGGGTAGTATAGGCTCTTGTCTTTCATGATCCACGTTGGCTCTCAATATAGCAGAGTAGAAGAAAGAAAGCCACATTGGCTCTCAAAAGGACAGCCACGTTGGCTCTCATTTGTATAACCTAGCAGAGTAGAACAAAGAAAGAGAAGGGAAAGAAATAAATAAATAAAGGCTTCTAGTCACTATTGATTCCTCTGGCTGTATTTTTCTATCATTTTTCTCACAGAACTCCAAACAAAAAATAAAAGTTGAATAAATAAATTTTCTTAAAGAGTATGGTGCATTAGTTTTTCCACATTCCTCAACAAGTTGTGCATTTCCAATTTCTATTTAAAACATCGAAGGCCATAAAATTACTTCTCTTCATGTAAAGAGTTGATACACACTTCAAATTTCCAGTTGGTTTAAGACTGTTAGTGCAATATCAATGGATGCCACAGGGGGCCACTTGTTCAGTGGTTAACCAAGGTCCTCGGTTCGAGACTTGAGAATGCAGCTGAATTCGGTACAGAGAACTTTGCGCCCTTGTGGTCCACCCGGCTCAAATCCGGATTAGTCGGAGCCTGTTGTGGCTTCCAGATACCGGACGGTCTGACCAAAAAAAATAAAATTTGGCCCAATAACCTTCAGTTTGTGGGTTCGAACTTGAGGGCAGCCACTTTGTGCAAACAACACGAAAGGTTAGCTCCATACCCAATCTATCCATTTCAGGACTTTACGAATGAGCACTAAATTCTGTGTTCTTTTAGCGAAATGTACAAATACAAACAATCCGCATACAACTTGAAAGGCAAAAGAAGTCTAAAAAATACAGGCATTTATACAAACAGCAGAAATCAAGCTGAAAAGCTAGACATACAGCCACTTACTTTTGATGTTTTCCCTGGGGATGCCACCATGCACATGCGAAATGCAAACAGGTTAGACTTACTGGATTAACAAGCCCCTGGAGTTGCTGAAATAGCCTCAGGTATGACAAATTTATGAACAGGAGTAGAAACATCTATCAGAATAGCATATTATCTTGTCTAATGTAATACATGCAGCACTGTAAACATATTAACCATATAGCTAGACAAACAATCACACTAGCGGTGCCTCGCATATGGAAGCTTTCAATTCAATTATCCAAGCAACTTTGACCACTAAACGAAACACGAATCGTCCGGTGGTTAGTAAAATTTCTTGATCTTATATTTTTGCCCAGCAAAAAATTTGTACACTAGTTTACACCTAATAACATTGTACAGACCATTAGCTATTCGTCAAGGCAAGTTTCCAACCCAAAAGGAAAATTGATAGAACTTCATACCACGATCCAAAAATATGAATACATGAAAAGCCCTCTCCACCCACTGCAACCCCTTCACTCCCCAAAGCTCCCTAGCTCTCTCTCTCTCTATCTCTCCCTTTTCTCTCTCCATCAAAGCCTTTAGCAAACCCTCCCTGCCACACAGAAACCCAACATCAGCAACACCCCCAAACCACCCCACTTGCTGCAACTCCCCCACCCCACCCCAACCCAACCCAACCCAACCCAACCCAACAGCTATGTGAAGCCACACTCCCCACCAATGAATTCGCACCTAATTTTGCCTCTGAAATTCGTGGCTACAATCAACGCTAAAATTCACCCCTAATTTTTCTGATGTGCAAAAATTCACCATTATGTAGATATTTGTCTCTAATTCTGCTGACGTGAATAAGTTTGTCTCTGATTCTACTATGCAGAATTCAAGGCTAAGTAAAAATTTGCCGCAATTTTCTCCAATGTGCAAAACTCTTTGTTTTGGTTTCCAATTTATGATTTTTTTGTTTTTTGACATGGTAGTAGTGGTGTGTGCAAGGAAGATGGTGTTTAGTTGTGATGGTGGTGGTTGTGCAGTGTGGTTGGTAGTATATAGTGGTTAGAGGACAGGAGAGGGAGAGGGAAAGATAAAGGGTAAGCTAAAGAGAGTGCATTGTAATGAAAATTAAATGAAACTAAGAGGGTATTTTGGTATTTTTATATATTCTGAAATGGACATCCACTTTGTACTTTGGTCACGAGTTAAAAATAGTTTAGTGCAAAAGTTTAAAGTTGAGGAAAGACATTTGCTTCCACCCCTACAAGGTTTATTTTTTTTCTGCAATTCGCCCTTCATATAATAACAAAAGTAAAATGTTGATAACAACACTGGGATGCATAAATGAACAAAATTTTCCATTGCATCTGCATCCTTCATGTAGGACATCTCTACATAATATATCCTAAAGAAATGGCAGGCCTCACATATATTGATTTGAGTTGATAATTTACAGCATATGAACTCAAAGCCATTTTGTGTCAACAAGAGAGTTTTAGATGCGAAATTTAAAAAACGTTGCGCAAGTACTTATTTCACTTTTGGGAGCAAAATTCGCTTCTCTCCTTTTGATTTGACTAGAAATATAAAAAATTCAAAGTGTCACTATTATAATTAAGAAACTAAAAATTCTGCATATTGTTCAGACATCTAAAGTGCTGGTGCAGGGTCTACGATTCAATTCCTAATAAAAAAACAAAAATAAAAATAAAATCAAGAATGAACTTGATTGACGAATCATAGGTCAATCATATTTACCAAATTAAACAAAGTTCTCTAGTTAATATTCATATAAGAGACGTCAGCATGACGTAATTGTCGCCGATGATGACGCCAGCAACAACCAGGGAATGTTTTTTTTTTCTCTGAAACTTCAGACTATGAATTTTTTTTATTTTTTTATTTTTGGTATATGTCAAGATCATTAAAAAATTGATTGTAATTGGCTAATTTTATGAAATCTTGATGTAAATCTCAACCTAATTCCACGGTTAAAATGCTTCAAACATCAAGCTCCAAAAGAAAATGGAAGGATGGAGTTCAAGCTAACAAGATGAATCAAGAAGATCTTTGATGCACCTTTAAAGCTTAGGACAAAGGCAATGACCTAGAGACCTAGAACCCTTGGTTTATTTATAAACTTATATTTCTAGTAGAAAAGTATTTAGGGTAACTACAATATTAACCTACTCTGCTAATTACAACTAATAACTAAAATAAGAACTCTAATAGTATACACTAGGTCAAGAACAAAGTGGGCTATTGTCCTGTTCCTACGAATCTAGTTTGTTTATGTGAAATGGTGAAAGACCCTACGTCTAGTTGCCTATGGACTGACTCTGTTCTAGGAAATAAGCAAGAAACCTTAAGTGCAACATCTTTTCTCTAAAAAGAAACTTAAAGCAGGTTAAGAGCTTGACCAACATAGGCATGGTTTTCCCTGACTAAATAACCAGCATATAAATTTATTACCTCCTTTTTGTCTGCGAAAGCCAGGTATTGGTGGTGCTGTACGAGCTAAATTTGTCAATACCTTATCAAATACGATTTGTGTCTCCTCCCCAGTCAAATCCACTCTTAACTGGCAGCAAAATGTCATGAGAACCTCGAAATATTAGATAAAGACTCTACATCACATGCAAGGACTAAGGTCAAAGTCTAACTTTCAAAAATTAAAAGTTCCAAGTCTACAACAACCATAAAGGAAATGAATTTTATGGGTCAAACTAAATGTTAACAGCCTCCAGAATTTAGAAATTCTTGAACCATATAACAAACATCAACTTCGGCCATATTCTTTAATCTTCACAAACAAATGGCACAGACTGGTTCAAATTCTAGTCCCTCCTCCCTGTGCCTGTACATTTTTGTATCATTCTTTCCCATTTTCAGAATTGGATATTGCAAAGGCTACCATTTATATGACAAGGTTTTAGTCTCATCCTAACGCACCAAATTATCTACTACTGAAATTTGTGGAAGGAAACGTTGAAACAAATAATCTCATAAAAAATGCGAGGTAGCAATTGGTATGAACCAGACTTTTCAAGAGGCTATGAAACGGCGTACCCGTATCCGATACCATATAAGATGCGATACGTGTTGGATACTTGAGGATACGTATCAGATACTCCTCTTATGTATTTGATAATAATAAAATATTTGGATTCTTGGTGGATACTTTTGTATCAAAGCAATATGTATAATTTTTTAATATTTAACATCTCCTTTAAAATTCACATATCATATAATACATCAACAAAAAATCATACTACTTTGAAAACATATGAGTATTTTTTAAATATTATCTACTATTACATGTCAAAAGAAAAGAATCCAAAATGAATCTATTATATTCTAATCTTAGCAACAAATACTTCTAAACAAACCAACTAAGTAAATATTAATTTTCATTCGTTTAATTAGTCACTTCATTTTGTGAATATACCATAGTGATACAATATATCTTTTTTTACAACTAAAGAAAATGATTAATTTTCCTTATTATGTTAAAGAATTGCTAGATAATAGTAAAAATATGAAATATATTCTACTATAGACGTATCTTAACAATAGTTATTAGTATCGTACGATACACGATACGTATCGTATGATACATCACGATACACCTAAAAAATGATACATATCATGTCTCTGTATCATTTTTGCATCGTAATGTATGATACACAATATAATACGTCCGATATGTGAAGACTTTTTTTTTTTGCAGCTGAAATGACATCATTTCACCTAAAAACTTATTTTTAAATCACTAGCTAATGAAACAACGTTGTTTCATTAGCTAGTGATTTTAAAAAAATAATAAAATCTGTTGTTAATATTGTTCAATTGAATTCAAAATCCTTGATTAATATTAAGGTTGTTCAAGCAGTTGATGTTACAAATTTGAATTAGAGGTCTTTATATTTTGATATTACTGAACTATATTGAAAACTTAAATAATTGGTAGAACATTAATAAAACGCTATATTATTATGAATCTATAATTTTTTTACAAAGGGGTGTGTGTGTGTATGTATATATATATTTAAAATTATGCGTATTTTATGATACACGATATACGATACACTACAATACACTATTTTTAAAAAAACGATACGCCTTCCGATATGCGATTTGATAACTATGATCCTGATTGCTTCCGTATCCTCCTTTTTAATATTTTATCGTATCATCATATCCATGTTGTATCGTACAAATATCTGTATCTGTGCTTCGTAGTCAAGAGAAGTAACAAGACCATATCGGTCACATGTCGATGATGGTGCCACGGACCCATATCCACATGACACGAGCAGGTCCATCCAATTTCTATTCATAAATGACAAGAAAAGTGTATGGTATGTTTTTATTAAAAGAACTCATCATATGATGGGTATTCAACATACAAAAACTATGGCTCAAAGTCTTACATGGTGAATACAATTGATTCAAAAAAGTAACATGTTTGGCCGAATCCATGTACGAATTCTGGGTAGTCGCCCTACTGGTTGATATCAGACTTTGGCAATTAATGAAGGGAAAGTTGCAAACATGTGTGGGTATCAATAAGAAAGGGTGCTAGGACGGATGGACTGCATAGACCTAATCTTTGATATTACTTGGACAATGTGTCTACCCTCAAATCGAACACACTATCACGGTTGCTAGCCCGAACATTTTAAAACCACACTAGGCAATAGTTCACTAACAAAGGTGATATAAATAACCATCATGACCAATTAGTAACATATCAAATCTAGAGGTCCAAGAACCCAGCAGTCAAAAATCCAGTTCCACGTATATATATTATTCAACACAAGAAGTTGGTAATAAAGGTCAAGCCTTAAGCTCACTTGTATCTTATCATCATCTTGAGACTCCACAACTATCTTGGCATTTTTCACAGTTATACCATTGCCTTTTGGATCTGTGATTGAAGCCTCTAAACCTACAAGACCATGTAGAAGTACTTGATTAGCAGAAGTTTAAAAACCAAGGGCAAAAAGTATGAGAATAACTGCACATATATATATCTCTAACTTGAAGTTAAGGTGACCTGAACCAACAGCAGATATTGGCCTGGACAAACATCTGTGACCTTCCACAGGGAAATTACAGGAGTTCAATGACCTGAAACCAGCAAGGAATGTGATGAGAGTTTTTGCACAAGCACTTTATAAAGCATGAACTACCTACCATAAATTGGGTTTACTGTTTGTGCCACAGATCCTTCATTTCTGTTCAAAGAGTACAACAACTTAAAAAACTCAAAAGATTACTGAAGAAGCAATAATCAAATGATTCGGTATCCCATATGTGTTCCCAGTAGTCAATGAGTATCCCTGTAGAGAGAGAAATATGAGCAACCACCTGGCATCTTATTTTCAAAGAAAATTGACTACTGGTATATAGCCGACCCCAAAAAATGTTGAGGCAAGACTTTGTTGAGTCGTATTGACTACTGATATATCCTATCAGCCCTGTGCTCAAACTACAATAAAGTTGACATGGTATCTAGAATGTGCGCTTCATTAGAGTTGCAAAAATAAAGTACCAAAATTGTACCAGTACCATAAGTACCCACATTTTGGTTCAAGATAGTTTTTTTCCAGTCTGGTACCAATATACTGTTTCCGACCTGATATTATACTCTAAACCAGTTAAAGATGAAATACTTCAATTAGTAAGGCAAAACAGAATCAATTATCCAAGTAGAAGATAACTTCTAAAACAGAAACCAGATAGAAGTAATTTACCTCCTGCATAAACTGTGTTTTGCAGTGCAAAAATTGACAGTTGTGGCATTACGACTAGTCAGAACATTCTCAGGGAGGATCCCAACAGTGACTTTCTGTAAAAACAAAAGCCAGAAAAATCATCCCCAAATCAAGGAATTAGCTTGATTCTGAAATTAGTCGGGGTAGCACCAATTTCCATGGCCCCAACAGAGTCATTACCCAGCTTAGGCTCAATGCTAACGGGGTATATATCCCTACTTTTGCATTATTTGGACAACCTCGTGCTCAAACCTACAACCTTACAATTAACTGACCACTACACTAAACAGTAATGACATTTTCAGTAATCTCAATTTCACTCAAAAAAATATTCATTTCAATAGTTCACTTTTATCCGGACAATTCACCAATTCAATGAAATAAATACATATTCCTCACATTCATACGTAAAACATATGCAATGTTAAGATATTGGGGGGTGTTCTTACGTTGGAGTCCAGAAATGGACGAAACGTTGAAGAGATTGTGACGGACATGGCGGTGGCCATTCTTTTCGCAGTCAAGGGAAACACTGAATCCAATAGAGTGGAACTACCTTCCAGCAACAGCCACAATCGACAATTCTAATCTCCTAGTAAATTTGTAGAAAAATTGGGAGCCTTTTGGTATTTCGAGTTCAACACTGATATTCCTGTCAAAGAGGATTGAAAATTGAAGGCGTAGTTGGCCCAAGGTTGTTCCACTTAGAGCATCTCCAAGACGTTATCTAAACCATCGCCTTTAGTTATTTTACATAACTTTTTCCTAAAATATTGTTCTAAAAAACTAGTTAAAAGAGTTATCTAAAATAGATAATTCTATTTTCACTCCATAGACGTAGCTAATCAGTAAATCGCTAGCTGGCGCCAATCTCTTCCTCCTCGTCTCTTTCCCTCCTCCTCCTCTTGAATGTATGTAACGATGTCAATGGATCGAAGCGGGGTGGGGGTATAGTCTTCATCTCTGTACCCGCTTAAAATATTTTTGTCCATCTCCGATTCACCCCCGCTAATAGGTATAATTTTCATCTCCATCTCCGTCCGCAGGTAAATTTATAATTCTCATCTCCATCCCGTCCCCGCTTCTCCTGTACCCGCTCAAGCCCAAGTATAAGCCCAAACTCAAGCTTAAGTCTAAGCCCAAGTTCAAGTTCAAGTCAACAAAATTCAAAATTCTAAAGATGAAAAAAAGCTTAATTTTTTTTTTTTTTGCTATGATCAAAAATAGAAGAGGTAACAATATAAAAAGTGTGGCAAATGAACATCCTAATGTTTTAATAAATCCAATGCTCCAACAGCACTAAAGAAACACATCAGAAGCAACATTGACAACAAAACAGCAGCACCTCTAACACAATCACAATAGCAAAATAGCCCCAGAAAAATAGATTCAGAAGCAGCCCCAAAACAGCACCAGAAATAGCCTAGAAACAGCCCCAAAAACACCACCAAAATGCACATTAAACCAACCCAAGGCTACTGCTCTATTTCTTTTGTTTCTCCGTTTTCCTTCTACAATACACGGCAAAAACAAGGCTGCCAGATAGTCACACCCCTTTTAAATTAACCATCCTGTGTTCACTCCAACCTTGTTACTACAAATCATTGCATTGTCACACATCTTATTCTATCCTTTGACCTGTCTCTAAAATCTAAATCTAGAATTGGGTAAGGAGAATCAAAACTATTCTTCAATCTAAATTCTAAAAGCAACAATGCAATTGTCATATGAGACTGAAGCAACAGGAGCACAAAGGAGGTCCCAGTTGAAAAAATGTGGCA